CCCCTGCGCCGGCGGCGCTCGGGCGGGGGGGCTGCGCCGTCCTGTTTTCAATAAACTGTTGTTTTTTCCTCTCCCCTTCCCGAGCGCATCCCCCATTAACGACAGCATCCCTGCAGGGCTCGGCCGGAGAGGGCAACAACTTGATGATGCCCGCCTGACGACAGCCCTGGTCATGGTACCAGTGAATCGGGTCCTCCCTAACGATTTGAGGGCTGCATGGCTTGAGAAGGTTTTGAGGCACTTCTGCCGAAAGCAGATGCGATGCCCTCGCAATTTAATCAGGTTGTGCAACAGCCTCCTCGCGCCCAGTGCTGCTTGTCACATTCCCATTCCATTACTCTGCTCCCTCTCCTCTCGGGCAGGAGGGATCTTCTCGCTGCAGACCACAGAGCAAATCGCATCCGGGGTGCAGCTCTCGGCACAACGGAAATATGAATGATTTATATTGAAAGCAAATGTTGCTGGGATTATTGTACCTTAAAGCACAGGCCTGCATAGGTGACTGCTTGGTAATATTAAAGGAGAAAAAAAAAAAAAAAAAAAAAAAAGTCAGTGACTGCACAGATCTCACCCGGGACGCTTCTGCTGAGTCACTGATGATTTATTGATTACCATCATGTCCATGCAGGCCTGTGGTGACTGTTCTGTTGAATGACATGAACCAACACATGGATGACTGGGTTTTTTTTTTATTGCTGTGGAACAGGTGATATCCAATGTAATTTGATTACTAATAGCTCAGGTAACAAGAGTCATTTAAGCAAAACTGAACAAAATACTTAGTTTATTGGATGTTGTCGTTTGCTTTACTGACTGACCTAATTCCAGCATTACACAATACGTATGCATTGTTACAATAACATGACAGTCAGTGTCTAATAATCGGTAATAGGTATAGCTGAGAATACTGTCAAAACTAAATTATTGAGGAAGCAGAGCATCTTAAAGACATAGAGTCATGATAATAACGTCAAATAAAGGAAATTTGCATAAAAAGAAAGACCTGGCCACCTTGATATTTCAGGGTATTTGGAATGGTCAGGTTTGAAGGAGGATTTTAGCACAGCCAGTGAACAGTTTGTTGTGTGAAAAACACTGGGAAATCCACTTCCCCTCATCACATTTCAAAATGGTGATTTAACTTAGTCCTGCTTAACACTGGGCCACCAGCATCCATCACACTGTTAACATCAAACAGGGTCACAACCATCAAAACATTAGATCTGAAGCACTGAAAAGCAAGTAGTCACACCCAGCTCTAGGAGGCAACAACAATGAGCAACAGAAGGAGCTGAGGACCCAGCGTTTGCTGGGAACGATTCTGACAATTTGCCTGCATCTGCTAAGAGTGTGAAAAAGGGTAAAATGCTTGAACCCATGTCAGAAAAATCCCTACTGAAAATATAGTAGCAGCATAAAAAAAAAATCCTTGTTATGTTTTCTTTGGGAAATTGCTGAA